TTGTGGCAAAAGGTAGTTTAATTATTCCTGTCCCCCTGAGCAAAACCAGTTGGGCATGCAGTATTCTCTGTCTAATATTCCCTTATACATTTCAAGGGAGCCTGGGATAGCTCTGACTTTGCTAATGTATGGGGACAAAAGAAAAAGGAACAGCAGGAGTTCATATTCCACTCAAGAGGCAGTGTCAACAGTATAGAGGGTTCATTGCCATTGCAGTTAAAAGGAAATGAAACTGTTGCAGTGCGAAAAATGATTTGAATGCATTCTTATGATGGATCAGTGACCATGACCAATCTATGAACTACACACACACACACACGAACGAGGCAGCATCTTTACTACACCAAGACTTTTCCCCATCTCTTTCTACTCCTTTTTGTATGGTTATTGGACAAATTGATACTTTACTCACCTTGGGGGCATTATGGGTTCATTCTTTGATGACTGTTTCAAACTAGAATGCTCAGATTCCTATTGGAATATAAAATCTGCATTATTATTTGGAAAATATGATTTGAAAGTTCAACATTATTATTGTTTCAAAGGAAAACTTAAATTAAGATTTCACTACAGAGATTTTATTATTTGCATCCCCCCCCCAAGGGACTGTTTCCTGGTGAATATTAGCACAACTTGTGCTATTAGTATTTTGAGAGATATAGGGCAACTACTTGAGAATAAAATGTAGTAAAGCCCATTTACTGTGAACTAGGGACCTCAATACACAATGGCAATGTCAGTCATACTCCAAGCAGTCCACTGATTTCATGTGGTCTACTCTAAGTATGCTGAAGAATTGATGCTTTTGAACTATGGTGCTGGAGGAGACTCTTGAGAGTCCCATGGACTGCAAGAAGATCAAACCTATCCATTCTGAAGGAAATCAGCCCTGAGTGCTCAATGGAAGGACAGATCCTGAAGCTGAGGCTCCAATACTTTGGCCACCTCATGAGAAGAGAAGACTCCCTGGAAAAGACCCTGATGTTGGGAAAGATTGAGGGCACAGGGAGAAGGGGACAACAGAGGACAAGATGGTTGGACAGTGTTCTCGAAGCTACTAACATGAGTTTGACCAAACTGCAGGAGGCAGCAGAAGACAGGAGTGCCTGGCGTGTTCTGGTCCATGGGGTCATGGAGAGCCAGACACAACTAAACAACAAGTATGTCTAATGTTGTACAATAATCCAATGTGACTGAAGAAAAGCTAGTGCCAAATTCTTCCCTAGTGAAGAAAAGACTAATATCTTCCATCTTTGTGATATTCAGTGGGGCAGTGGGGTGGGGTGGTGGACAGAAGATCTTTCTTTCTAAAGAGATATGATGCACTTTCAAAATGGTAAGTGGAATTAGTTCAAAGAAATCACATTAGAGATAAAAATTATTAGTAGAACTTTGTGTATTACTGTAGGATATGGGGACAGCCCTCGCTGAAGAAAGGAAACAGAAACTACAAATGATACAACTGTATTTTTCCAACACAGAGAATGGCCTTCTGTATCAAAGCAATGTGTTTCCATGCTGATAGCCAAGGCATCCTTTCTTTTCTGAGGTAAAAATAGTTGATGCCTTCATTCTCATACCAACTCCCATCAGCCCCTGCCAGCATGGCCAAAGGTCAGGGTTGGATGGGACTGTAGTCTGACAACATATGAAGGGGCTCCACGCTGGTGACACCTACAATAGAAGATCTCACACCAGTACATTAATGTGCTCTGACACACAGCTTGGGACTTTATGGTCTAGCATAAATTAAACCAAGACGGAATCATGGAGCTGTGTGTGTGTCATCCTGTAAGCTACAGGATATACATACATACATATCCATGGAGGAATTTCAGAGCTATGGCGACTCCAAGAGATGGCTATTCACCCTCTACTTGAAGACCCCCAGCAAGAAGGAGCTCACCACCACCTTTCTAAGTAATTGGTTTAATTGTTGAACTGCTCTTATGATTAAGAATTCTCTCCTAAAGTTCAACCAAACAATTTAGAGTCTTAATTCTCAAAATGGCACCTTATGTACAAAAGGATAATTCAAAGATTATAAACAAAGAAGAATGAGTTACCACATTTTTCGTTGCTTTGTTGTTATTGGGTTTTCCAGCCGAAACGCCAGATGTGTTCCCTATTGGTTTTTCTGTAGGAAGTGGAGGAGGGCTCTCTGGAACTTCATTTAAAGCTGAAAAAATATCGCCACAAACATCATACAGATACACTAAAAAACATAAACATCAGTGGATTTGATCGATCAAACGGAATCACATCATCTCTTTAAAAAGAAAGATCCTTCATCCTGGCCGGGGGGTTCACCATTTCAAGAAATGACATGTGAGCGCCACAACAAAACCAATGACCCATGTACAAAAAGGTATGGACCTCTTCACTAGGGATACGGACACACTGGTGAGGATGCATTATGTCAGACTTTCCAACAGATGCTGGAGTGGGTCATAGAGATACTACTCCACACCTCCCATTTCAGAACTATAAAGACTGTGTCTTTCACAAATGAACTGCCTGTTTCCTCTTGCTATCAGAGCACGACTGTTTTCTTGGGCCAGAGGACAGTAACGAGGATGGTGCTGTGGGTTAAACCACAGAACCTAGGGCTTCCAATCAGAAGGTTGGTGGTTCGAATCCCCGTGACGGGGTGAGTTCCCATTGCTCGGTCCCAGCTCCTGTCAACCTAGCAGTTCAAAAGCACGTCCAAGTGCAAGTAGATAAATAGGTACCACTCTGGGGGGAAGGTAAATGGCGTTTCCGTGCACTGCTCTGGATCGCCAGAAGCAGCTTAGTCATGCTGGCCACATGACCCGGAAGCTGTACACTGGCTCCCTCTGCCAATAAAGCAAGATGAGCGCTGCAACCCCAGAGTCATCTGCGACTGGACCCAATGGTCAGGGGTCCCTTTACCTTTACCTTTAAGAGGGGCATAAAGCTATAGCAAGAAATGTAGATCATCAAGATCTGAAGGGAGAAATATATAGGATGATTCTTTTTCCCTTATGGAAAAAAGGAAAATGTAACCACAAACACAACTGGCACATGGTCAAATATTCCACTTTCAAACTTCGGTTGTATGCTACCAAATATATGCAGTGACTTTGAACTCTTTGGATAAAGAGCAAGGGTAAACACCTGACAAATAAAAATAAAATACTCAGTATTCATAGTGTTGTTCAGTCAACCTGAACTTTAAAAAAGAATGGAGTTTTGTTTAAATGTCACTCTAAAGACCCTAGAAATGAAGGTATCGTTCTAATGAAGGCAGATGTGCATGTTGCTAAGCAACAGCTCACTGCATGGAATGAACTCTAAGACAGAATAGGTATGTTTTAAGGTATCTCTACCCAGAAGCCTTTCACTGTTCTGTCATTATGAGAAAGCTTTTGCTAAATCTTTACACCAGTGCACTAAGGAATAAAGGAGACGCACGGCTCTTAGTAAGCTGTTTTGTCAGGCCAGACTATTTGTCCTCCTGGCCCAGAACTGTCTACTTTGACAATCAGTGGCTCTCAAAGGTCTCAGCAGAGGTCTTTCCTGTAAACTTAAACTGGAGATGCCAAAGATTGAACCTACGACCTTTTGCATACAAAGCTTGCGCTCTATGACTGAGCAATGATCTCTCCATGTGTTAGAAAACTAGCACTGTGCAAGGAACTGTGCAAGAAGTCTCAGCATATGCCAGTGGCGTGCAATTCCTAAATTAAACCACTGCATAATACAGCCGAAAAATGTTAAGCGCTAGGGGTGGCATCCAATGTCATGTCAGCATACTTCCACTTCTGCAGCAGAGTCCTTTCTCTCTTCCACCCACAATCCTTCTGTGCCCGACTCAAATTTGCTCTGGATAGTCCCCCCCAACCCTCCAGAGCAGATTTTTTAGGAGACATAGGGGCCTGTAGGGGAAGAGAAAATCTGTTCTGCTCACAGACAAATATAATTGGATTTCACCCTTGGATGTTACCTTTTGTTGGTTTAGCTGGGATTCGGATCACAGTGGGTTTGCGCACAACAGCTGGTTGAACCGCCTGTTCTTTTGCAGGCTCTTGTTTGGAGGGCAAAGTGACAACATCTAAGGAAAACACAAAATTCAGCATGTTATCTTGCTCCGGTTCCAGAGAAAATGCCATAAACTTCATTCATTATGGAAATGTTGCTGAAAGGATAAATCTGTACCCTTACTGTACATTAATTCTGTAGCCATCTTGACTGTGAAGACATGCAGAGGTTTTTGTATGGGGGGAGGGTTACCCCTGAAGACAATCCTACCCTTTGTTCCTGAATGTCTGCTGAAGGTCACCTATGGCCCTCTCATTTGAACTAAATCTATGTTGCCGTATCAAATGATTCTGTGGGGAAAAACTAATTGATTTACTTTTGTCATTTCCATTTCCAGAACTGGATTAGTGACAAAAACTGGCTTGTAAACAACTCTAAATACAGTCATACCTCGGGTTACAGACGCTTCAGGCTGAGTTTTTTCGGGTTACGGACCACCGAAACCCGAAAGTACCGGAACGGGTTACTTCCGGGTTTCAGAGGTTGCGCATGTGCAGAAGCGCTAAATCGCGCTTTGCGCATGCACAGAAGTGCCAAATTGCAACCCGCGTGTGCGCAGATGCGTCGCTGTGGGTTGTGAACGTGAATCCCGCATGGATCACATTCGCAACCCGAGCGTCCACTGTAAAACAAAACGTTGAACATAGGAGGCTGTCTTATAGTGTGTCCAGACCAGGCCCAGGCAGACAGCTAGGTATACTTGCCCCAGGCCTCGGAGGGCTAAGTTGGCTGGGGGCTCTTGCCAGGGACCGGCTGCATTTTTGTTTTGAGTTTATAACTTTATTCTAACAAGCCTACAACCCTGCCGCCCCTGGCTGGGCCTCAGACAAGCTCTGCATGGCCTGAGTCAGGCCACTAGTTCATCTTGCTCAGTACTGTCTAAAGTGACCAGCAGCAGCTTTGCAAGATCTGAGGCAGGATTCTCTCCCAGCTTGACCTGAAGATGCCAAGGATGGAACCTGGGGCCTCCTGTATCCAAGGCAGGTGCTCTACCACTGAGCTATGGCTCCTCCTAAGAGATCTATCGCTCTGAGTGCCTTTGGGAGGAAGGGAAGCATGTACACTGAATTAATTATGAATGATATGCTCAGGGCTTCTGTCCTAAGAGGAATTTCCACTGCCCTGCCTTTCTGTTCTCCAATTGACACCTAACAATCCATGGCTAAGGATCATTGTGCTATATTTACTAGCAGCTTTATCAAGGTTTTTGGGGTGTTTTTTTTAAAGAGTTTTGTTTATTTCTGCAAACCTTGCGATTTCTCTGAACATGCTGATATCTCCTTATTTCTCGTGGGTGGTGGGTTTTATAATTAAATGTATAATTATGCAGCTGTTGTAATTTAGATATTATATTTTATGTGAGAGAATCATTGGGAATTTTGGTTATTATGTATATATGTTAAGTTTCAATAAAGATATTTGGGGGTGGGGAAAGATATCTCCTTATTTCTCAGTGGATCCATTTTAAACTTCATTCCTGTTGGCACTTGCCATCTAAGTGTGTTATTAGAGAGACGAATGCAGCTGCAAACAAAGGGGCTGGCAACCTATAAATACTCAGTGCTATCTTGAGCACAATCCATAAAAATGAGAAAGCAAAATGCTTAATGCACTCGCTAAAGACTTTTCTCTAGCAATAATCTGATTCTATTTAGGAGTGTGAACCTCACACAGGTTGGATCTGACTACCTTTACTAACAAAGGGTTATTACTGTATGAAGCTTTGAGAGCACAGTGTAAGACTAAGAAGGGGCAGTATGCAATTTTCCTAAGAAGTATTCCCCGCCCCCAAATGCTTTTTGCCACATTTCTATAAGATATTAAGGTGCTTCCTATCTTTCCTACAGACTGCAGATGCAGAATATCCTACCATCTTTCAGTGTGCTCTATTCCTATTTTGGCACCATTATCTAGATCAGAAATGGAGAAACCTGTAGTCTTCTAGATGTTGTTGAATTACAGTTCTCATGATCTCGGTGCTGGCTGGGACTACTGGCAGTTTGAGTCCAGCAATATCTGGAAGACCACATGTTTGCCACCGCTGAGCAAGACATACTGAGCTCCCTGCCCTATGCATAGCAACAAGCACAAACACTAACCCCACAGTATTATAATAATTATTATATCACAATTTAATTTTTTCACAACCATAGTGCCCAAGACTTCTAGTCACCACCTCTCTGCAAAATATATGCTGACTATGATGAGAGAAGGCGCATATGGCTTTTCTCCTTCAGTACACTGCTCTGCGATGCATGTTCCATTTCCATATTTAATCTGATTTAGAAGTACAGCAATAAAAAAAACCAAAAAACCATTAGACTCAAGGTACCGGTTTCAAGTATATACAAAAAACCATCAACAGTTCATTTCCTGCTGTAATCTGCCAAGGCCTCATTAAGGCAATAAGGAAAGGAAGTTGTAGTACATCAAAATTCCATCTACTTATTCACTGCACAGGACATAATAAGAACACACAATCCTTAAACATCATTAATACAGACTCATTTGTGACAACTATACCCTATTACCAGCGCAGATTTACAACCCACACAACTGAAAGCATTTAGTAGTAAATGAGGCAAGAAGCTAAAATAGCCTCCCCTCTTCAGTTTTGAAAACACATTCTCTGCATGAAATCTACACAATATTATTGGGGGAGGGGAACCATATGGCCCCTATAAAGTATTTGGAAAACTATGAGCAAGATCCTATTGCAGCATCTGATGTGTAAATAGAATGTCCCCTCCCTCCTGTGCACCCCTAAAATCTGCTGCAGAACATTAGGGGACCCTCCAAAGCAGGTTGGGAGGTGGGGAAAGTTCTCGTTTGCTGGCGTGACACTGGATCTTGTCCTGTATGTTTCTTCAAATAAGAAAGAGTGCCACTTCCCAAGAAACAATTGGAAGTGCATATTATTATTATTATTATTATTATTATTTGGAAGGTACATACTACTACTACTACTACTACTACTGCTACTACTATTGTCTACTTGATTTATTAGTCATTTACTACAAAAAGGTCTCTAAGTGACTAACTTTAAACTCCTGATTGCTCTTTCGCAGCCACATCCTTACCCGTCCCATACCTGATGTCAAGTGTGATATAGGTGAGCGTGGTTTGGGAAAACAGACTAGTGGGCCAAATTAGGACTCTGGGCTGTGGACTGGTGGTTCTCCACCACTGCTGTAATAGGAAGAAGCAGCACTTTCCATTCTGAGCCCTGGGAGTTTTTCTGTTTTTATTTTGCAGCTGACACTCAACATTCAATGGCTTCTGAGCATGCTCAGTCTTCATTGGGCTGTGTTTTGGGTTTGGTTTTTTTTTTTTGCTTTTGCCACCATAGGGTTTGGAGTTTTGTTATTAACTGCAGAACTCTCCTGTACTGCATATCTCACTAGGCACATTTGGATACCCACTGGGGAAAAAGTAGGGGTCTTCTCCCCCTATCTCTTATATTTCTCATTTCATTGAACCTTTCAGCAGCATTTAGATTTTTGTATGAGCCAGAAAGCAGTAATTTCACACATAAAAATTCACAAAACACACCTGTCAGGGGTTCAGGAGCAGAGGCACAGGAAAGGGAGGAAATAGAGAGCGAGGGGGAGGAGTCCGAAGGAAATGTTAGCGATGACAGCGGTCCGAGGTCTCTGAGTCTTTCCAGTGAATCGGAAGATTCACAGAAAGGGGCTCCGTGGGTCAGAGCAAGGGGGTGCCGAGGGGGACACCCCAGGAAGAAGGGGCCAGAGGGGACTCAGAGAGCAGCAGTTGGAAATCAGGACCAGCGTCCACACCAGAGTGCAGAAGGGGGGAGGAGTCCCAGGCATCGGGATCAGGCGGCGCACTGCCAGTGGGAGGACATGAGTCAGGATTGGCCACGCCTCCATCGGGGAGCGAGGAAACGGTCGAGAGGAAGGTTGAAGGCTGGGCGCGCGCTACAAGTTAAAATGTACAGTAGGGCGGCGCAGATGGCAGCTCGGATAGGGAGACAGGTCCAAAAGCCCGCCGAAAAGAGGTGGAGGAGTCAGCGGGGTCAGAGTCAGAAGAATCCAGGAAGGAAGGGACCCCGGGGGGTAGCAGGACCCAGAGGAGAAAGGAGAGACGTAAGAGGTGGAGTAAGGCTAGAATCTTAAACTGGTGTACAGGGGCGGAGACTCAGATGGAGCTTCGCCGATCTAACCCCTAGACGTAGAGCTGGGGCGCTCCGGCTTGAAAATGGAAACTGTACTTCAATAAAGACTTTTGTACATTACTGCCGGCTAGCGTTGGTCCTCTGTGAGCTGGGACCTGGAGCCAGCTCTGACAACACCAAATTTAAAAATTATGAAACATATCAACCGTGTTCCTCAGAATGGAGGGATCACTACTGTTGCCATGTGATGATCGTGCTCTCTCAAAAGATCAACATGTAATGGCACTTTTATACTTAACACAAATGTATCCTCATGCAAAGAATGCCTGCGAATCTTGTGCTATAAATCCCTAGAGGCTAAATGCTAGATAAACTAATGTCTCATTAAAGTTTCTAACTACAAATGTGTGTGTGTGTGTGTGTGTGTGTGTGTGCGCGCGCGCACGCGTAAAATCTACTCAAAATGTATTGCATTATCACAATCATTTTTACAAGCAAGGGTAATTTTAATTGGGCACCCCCAATACTCATATATGCTATTTATTCAGTGTATTTAGCAACCCACACTCTAAACTTCTTTGAACACCAGTTCTCAGTCCCAAGGAAAATTCTCACTTGGTATTGGGTCTCAAGCTTTCCTTCAGTACAATTTATATATAACCACTACATAAATGTAGTGCCTGGCGTGCTCTGGTCCATGGGGTCACGAAGAGTCGGACACGACTAAACGACTAAACAACAAAAGCAAAATTATTTTAAACATATACTAAAGGTACAAGTCCATATCTACATTGCCTGAGATGAAGCTGAAATACATTAGGAGAATATTATTTTACTGGTAATGCAAGCTTATGGAATCAAACTTTAATTCCAGATTCTAGACACACACACACACACACACACACACACACACACACACACACCTGTATACAGCTCAAATGAATGAATTTTGACCTTGATTTGATAGGTTTCCCAAACATACCAATGTTGTGATAAAAACAGGCATGCATATTCAGAATTGTAATCTTTCTTATAGGAAATCCTTTCCTCTTCTTAAATCTTACCGGATTCTGACGGCGTAAGTTCCTGAGGCGTCCCAGCTGAGTTAGGGGGTAAAACATCATCATCAAAGCTAATGAGATCTCCTTCCGCAGGTGGCTTGCTCTGCCCTGGAGGTGCTGAGAGGCTGCTTGCAGGGGGCTCCGCCAGGGATCGAAAGGCATTAGACTGGGCAGCTACAGAGAGCCTAGGAGTAGCACTTATTGGCTTTAGTGGAAGCATAGGAAGAGCAGGACTTTCAAAAGAAACCGACTTCTTGGGAACAAGTGGCCGAGGAGCAGGAATGGGAGATTTTCTCTGTCCATTACTATTTTCTGAAGCTGACTGGCTTGTTGAACTAAGCAGTCCATTGCTACTGCTTTTTACAATGCCTGATTTTGGTTTCTTTGGCAATTCAGGCTTGGTTATGTTGCTCCCAGCTTCCTGAGGTTGCGGTTGCCTTTCCTGGGGAATGACCTTCAGTTTGCTTTCTGTCCACGAATCCCACTCACCTGAAGCTCTGTTGGCCACTGGCTTTGGTGCCACCACAGGTTTTTTTGCACTTATTATGGGTTTGGGGCCTAAGGAGCGTGGAGATATTTCTGGCTTCTTTGTTTCTGTGTTTGCTTGCGATTCAAAGGCTTTAATCCGAGATAGTATGCTACTTTGGCTCTTATCTTTATCCATACTGTCCATATGAGTATCCCAAAGGCTGTCATCTAGTAAGGACAGCAGCTGAATTGCCGGTGTGTCCTTTTCAGTCCTTGACTGGCTTGCTTCTTCCTGATTGTCTTGTGCGTTGCTTTGAGTATCTCTAACAACAGGTTTCAGATTGCC